GGGCTTAAAAACACAACCGCACCATCTGTCTTTTGGACTGCTGGACCATTCTAATGGGATTTCGTGCTGAAGGTCAAGGGGTTTTGAAGGGTGAATTTCATTTCTCCAAATCGCTCTGCTTTTATTGCCCTTCTATGCAGTATTAATTATAGGATTGTTTGTCTGCCTCTAGTTGAACTTGGTCTTGCTGGAAATCCATGGCTCCTCTTCAACTAGAGGTATCTATTTTTTAGCCATCGCCATCTCAAAGGGCTCATGCTACCTCTGGGCTTTTCCTATTCTAACTTTGCCCAAATATTTGAATGTACAGAAGCCACAGATGAAATGATTTCAACCCTGAATTCCGCAGGGTGCGATTCTGGCATAAAATAAGGCTATTCAGTTGTGCAAGTAAATATCCCAGGACCGGAAGTTTTTGTTGAGGGAGAAGGAGCTAGGATAGAGAGGAGAGAGGGTAAAGCAAGGTTTAGCTCTCTAAGAGACAGAAGGAGGAGAGAATAAACAAGTACTTGCAGAGGAGTCGAGGTCAGACAGAGGAGGGAAGGAAGGGGTGACAATGGCTGCCAGGGCTCTGAGTAATCTACAATCAGTTGGGGTCCGGTATTTGGAACCAATGCATTCCAGAGCCAGAGGACCTAGGGGGCAGTGACGTGTGCACTGGCACATATTGGGACTTTGGAAGCGCCTCCTAGGAGACTGTAGACTGTTTCATCCCACATGCTGACCTGTGGTTTTGAGACAGTGAGTGAGGCAGCAAGGGACGGACTGTCTGAATTCCAGCTGAAGTTTTCAACATGGTGGAGAGTCATGAAATGATGTCAGAACTTCAGAAAATGTGTTTAGACTAGACTCTGTTTTACTTTGTGGGAATTCAGTTCAAAGCATCAGTAATTTTTTCATACGGCTAATGTCATTGATTTACAAAGAATTCTTCTCCCAGGCAAACATAAAAAGATATAAAGCCCCACCATCAAATGCCTGTTCTGACCACAAAGTCAGACTGTCTCAAATCATCTCTTTCATGCACACAGAAGGACACATCTCTCAGCAGCCACTGAAAACTTGTAAAGTAGATTTTCTCCCTTTATCCCTCCCAGTACTACGGTCTTCTGAGATGGACCCGCAGCAGGGGAAGTTCTGAGTTAACTCTTTTCTCTTCGGGAGTGTCCTCTACTGATTTGTAGAAAGACTCATGTCTTTCACCCATGTCTGGTGGGTCCAGAACAGACGACAGGTGTTCTGAATAATGAGGTTGGAGGTGGTGGATTCTTTCCTGACTCCACTTCTTGGAGTCTAGCTGCAACCCTGTCGTCACGTTCGCATATGTGACTCTGAGGCTCTTAGAGGTTCCGGCTCCGTGAGATGAGCTGGAGCCAGTGTCGCTGCCTGATGGTGGCGGGGCAAGCTCTTCGATTCCCAGCTGCTTCCCAGGAACTGCTTATGCCATGCTTGCCCCACCCCTTCTGCAGAAGCCACTTATCTCAGACCTGGTTGTGGTCAGCTGAATAGTGGCCCCCAAACAGAGCCACATCTGTTTGCTTGTTTGTTTGTTTGTTTGTTGTTTGCAGGTGCACATTCACTCCTCAACATCCCATCCAGCCACGGGGCTCTGTGTCTCGTTTGCTGATAGGCAGGCGCGATTAGCTCCCTGAACTGCGAATCTGTGTAGTTGAGTCCACACTGCTGTCCATCTTCCCCTCCTGGGGAGCTCCCTCTGTGTCATGTATGTCATGCCCTTTTAACATTCGCCTCTCAGAGACGCCCTTATCCTTCTTGCTTGACAGAGTCATTGGATTTCAGAGTTAGAAGGACCTTTATTAGACACATCTATTCCAAGTCCAGTGAACTAATGCACTTGGGGCCCAGACAGTCTGAAGAGGGAGTCATGGGGCCTGGGGAGTGATTCTGAGACACATGGTATGCGGGCTACTCTTTGAGAAATGTTGACCAGACCAGGAACTCAAGGGAGTGGAAGCAAACAGTTGCGACCTTCACATTTGGGAACAAATTCTCCACGACGGCCACTCTCGAGTCTCCTTTTCTTTGTTCCTGCAGAATTAGAAAACAACCCCAGGACAACTGTCCTGATCTACCTCCCTTGGCATGTGCTCGGCAAGTCCGTAGCTGGGTTTTGTTAAGTCTGGGACACTTGGGTGCTCCTTGCACTTGGGCAAAGGCGGTGAAATTGTAAGAATGCCACATTGACATGCAGGGCTACCTGGCAAAGGGACAAGCAGTCAGGCGAACCAGAAAGATCCATTTAACCAACTCAGAGGATGGGCATTTTTGATGAGAGCGTTAACCTTCTCCGGGCTGGCTGTCATTTTCAAATGACAGATGCGTGCATGGTATTTCCAAGAAGTCTTTCATCTCTAAGAAGGGAAAGGGAAGCAAGGGTCATATCTAATATATTAAAAGCACAAGGAAAGCTTTAAGCAATTTGGTACCCTTTGGCCTTTTTGGTATTCCCTCCCCCCACCCCCACCCCCCCAGTGAGGTGGTGCGTGTTTTAAAATCCTAACCTAGGAGATGTTTTGAAAGAACAGATTCAAAAAATCACACTAGCTTAGACCTGCCTTTAGGATGTCAGAAACTGTCTGCTCTCGTGGTTAGGGGATAAATTCCTTTGGGGAGTTAGTTAGGTTGTGAATCATGTAGGATTCTTTTGGTTGTAAGTGACAGAAAATGACATTTGTGTTTCCTTCCCTAAAAAAGGGAAGTGTGTGTCTCAGGTATCTGAATAGTCTCATTACAGATGTCACTTTAGGCTCAGGTGAAAACAGAGGCTTAATAGTGTAATTAAGGGCCTCATTGGTCTCTTCCTTCCTCTGTCTAGACTTGATTTTCATGCAGGCTTTCCCTTTCTGTCTACAACAGGGAAGTACAACTTCCAGGTTCAAGTTCAGTCCCTGTGAGAAGGTACTTTCCCCGTTTGCTAACATAAAAGTTTGGGAAATAATTCTCCTTGGTCTTAGTTGACCTATTTTGTCATCTCTGGGACAATTACTGTGAAGGGGACTTTGATCCCTGCCTCTCAAACTTTCATGTGCATGTGAATCACCTGGGAATTTTGTTTAAAGACCCATGCTGACTCAGAAGGTCTCAGATGGGACCTGAGATTCTGCATTTCTAATAACTTCCCAGGTGATGGTGCTGCTGCTGATCCAAGAACCACAGCATGAGTGGCAAGGATATGGACTAGGCTTGCTGGGTTCGCAGAGACCGACAAGGGGCTCGAACTCACAGACGGCGTGATCATGACCTGAGTCCAAGTTGCTGCTTAATCCGACTGAGCCACCCAGGCACTTCTGGGTGGGATTTTCTTTTCTTTCTTTCTTTTTTTAATGTTACTTGTTTTTGAGAGAGAGAGAGAGATAGAGTCAGAATCTGAAGCAAGCTCCAGGCTCTGAAATGTCAACAAGAGCCTCACATGAGGCTCGATTTCACAAGCCATGAGATCATGATCTGAGCCGAAGTCGGATGCTCAACCGACTGAGCCACCCAGGGCTTTTGGGTGATATTTTCTGTGTCTGTAGTTTGACCATCAACTCAGATTCAAATGAAGACAAAAGCAGAGTATTAGGGTAGGGCATGGGGGAGAGCATTTCCTCAACTCAAAACATAATAGTGGTGGCCAAACAGAAACCCAAACCACCCCTCCCCCCACATTTCCGCCATGGGCTCTCTGTGCTGTTTTGGTAACTGCAACATTAAACTTAGCTAGTGACGTTCAGGGACATGAGTGTCTCTGCCTCAATAGTACCCCCACCCCCCAACCAAAGCAATTAAAGACATGGCCCTTAGATAAATGACAAAAGATAAACTCTTTAAAAATTTGTGCACGATGATCATCATTACTATTAATTATTAATTGAGGAAGGACTAGCATGTGCGTGATGTGGGCAGAGATTTTGTTTAAGTACCAGCCCAGAGAGACCTGGAAAGGAAACCAGTGGAGATGCATGAATTATAAATACGGATCCTGCCATATGAAGGTCTCGGGCTGCAGGCTCCGGATCTGTAATATGGAGTTAATGCGCAACCCAGGAACCTGAACACGGTGGCGTGTTAATGCTTGTTAGCGGATCCGGGTTCATGCTGCTCGTGACGGAGAATCAATGCAGAGACAGGAACTACAACTTTGTGAACCTTGGGAGGCACTTAACATTTCTTTGACTCCTATTATATAGGAATTAAAAAATGATGACTCGAGTTTTGCTTGTTACTTAATTGCTTTGAGTATCATGGTAAAGAGGTAGGTGGACCTGGGCTACTATATAATTAGTTGATAAACTACGAACACAAGGCTCGCTCTTCTGGGGAAGCATTTATTTAGAACGTGGCATTTAAGGGGATTGGCTGTCCAATGCAGATGTAGAATGTCACAGCGTCATACACAATAATAACAGCCACCCCAGTCCCAGCTTGATGGGGGCCCTGCTGGGTATAGAATGTTCTAGTGAGGTTACCAGGTGGAGAGTTGTAATCGGGCTCATTCACTGGTAATTTGAGAGATGAAGGCAGCGTCGCTTTTGGCCTCTGACCACTGCCCCCGTCTCTTTGTTTCTCAGCATCCTGATGCCTTCTGTCTATGGCCAGCAACCTCTCCCTCCCTCCTTCTCTCTCCTTCCTCCCCCACCCCCATTTTTCTCTCCTCTGGAGCCTAAGCTGTGAGTGTTCTGCTGCTGAGGATCCTGACACTGTGCACTGTGTACACATCCTTATATGTATCTTATCAGGTGAGCCCTCCACCGTCTCAAATCCCTGTGGTAGGAGGACGTCAAAGCGTTAGCCACATAACAGATGAGTGGTCAAGGGCATTTCTAACACAGTAGATACATGTTTGGAGTGATCCTCTTCTCTCCTCAAACATATCCTGGTTTCCACAGTAGAAAAGTTAAATCAGAGTCTTTTTTTTCTTATTGGCTTTCAACTAGGTGGGCAAGTTCTAGAACCTTCCTTCTGTAGATTCTGAGTGCTTAGACACCAGGTGTTCTAGACACCAGACCACCGCCTGCCACCATCCTCAGGCTGCTGCCCTTTGACTTCCTTCAGCAAGAGGTGCATCCCTCTTCTGCTTGTGTCTCAGCCATGCCCTCCCACCCTGACTTTCCTGATGAAAATTCTCTTTCTTTATAGATGTTCCTCCCCAGTCTCTCCTTCCTCCTCTCCTCAGGTGTTTTAGAGGGTCTAGTGCTGGCTCAGAATTAAGTCCAACAGGAGATACAGAATCAGAACAATTCCCCGTGCTCAACTTGGGGTGACAGGTTAACCAGAGGAAACAATTAGAGGAAAATTTGTGAATCGTCACGCTCCATGGTACTCACTGTAAGTGCCAGCCACCTTCCAAAATAGGAAAAAGTGGTTCCCAAGACACGGGAAGAGGCATCCACCCTGCAGCGTCATCCCTTAGCATCCTGATGGCACTTAACTCCCTCCCCGACAACAGCTTTCACTGTGAGTTTCCCTTGTTAGACAGCGAACTCCCCCTGGCCAGAACTGTGTCTGCCCCTCTCACCGGCCCATTTCCAGCGCCCAAGCAGGTGCTCAGAACACATGTGTTGAACTAGCTTATTAATTCATCTTTTCGGAGGGGGGGTGGGAATACAAGCATGAGGAGAGCAAGCCCTTCTGTGTTTAGAGTAAAAAAAAGATCCATTATTTTTGAAAACTAGCCAGCAAATGTCTAATCGGTTCTAGAAAATAAAACTGAAAGAAAGGGGGAAGGGATTAATAGAAATACCGAGACACTACGGGATTCTACATGATTAAAAATTAAACCCTGTGTGATTAAAAATTAAATTATATATTATTCTTCTCCTCAAGTAAGTTTCCTATTGAAATACAACCATGTGCACAAATCACATGTATGCCACTTGATTAATTTTCACCAAGGGAACTTGGGTGATGGCCCTCAGATCATGAAACAGAACACTGACAAGATACTAAAAGCCCCCTCTTAGACCCTCTCCATTCACTTCCCTTACAAAGGTAATTCTTGTCTTGACTCCTGTTGCTGTAGATTAGTTTTGCCCATTTGTGAGTGTTGTAGAGATGAAATCATACAGTATACTGTCTTCTGAGCTTGACTTCTTTTCACCACGCTCTTACATTTAGCAGTAGTTCATTCCTTTTGTTTGCCTCTAGTTTTCCATTATAGAAATACGCTGCTCTACCTTACGCTGATGGCATTTGTTTTGTCTCTAGTTTTTGCCTATTAACGATGGTGCTGCTATGAACATTCCTGAATGTCTTCTTTGATGCCTGGGCATTGGGTGTATACCTATGAGTTTGCACGATTGCAGAATAGGTACATTTTCAGCCTTAGTAGATATTGCCAATTTTTCTGATCGCTTATACCAATTTGCACACCAACTGGCTTTCAGTGAAAGTTCCAGTCCCCCCCTCCCACTTTTAAAACACTTTTTGGCCAACACCCTCATATTATCATCTCGTAAATTTAGCCATTCTGGTGGGTACGCAACATCACCTTTCGCTGTTTTGACTTGCATCTTCCTGACATCTAAAGGAGTCAAACACCTTTTTATGTGCCTGTTGGCTATGTGTACACTTTTATGATGTGTTTGTTCGGGTCTTTGTATGTTATTTTGCATACCATTTGGGCATTGTAACATTTAGTCATTTTACTGAAAGTTGGAAGGAGACTTCCTATTGAGGGATTTTAGACTTTATGAACTTGGCTTTCTTACTTAAAATTTTATTTTCTTTTATAGCACCAGAGCACAATCTTCAGATACAATCTTTGGGAGAAGACTGACATGCAAAGTAAGTCAAAGCAGAGAAGTTCTCATAGAAGGAAGGATAAAGGACTCAGATCCTTTCCTTCCCTTGACCCCTAATGTATTCCGTTCAAACTTAAATACTGCCTTATGGCAAAGTTAGGCTTTAAGAACCAAGATAACAAGTGAGCCAGTAAAAGCCTTCATAAATACTTTATATAAAATATTTGCTAGCACAAAGTGATAATGATAACAGGAGAAATAAGAATATGAAAGGCATTTTCACAGCTTCAGTGGGTTGTAATAGACATTATACTATTCATTTCCATTACATTTTCTTGCTTAGGGAAGACATTTCATGATTTATTCTCCCCACAGTTACAAGATCCTTTCAAATTTATTTGGATCCATTGTAGAAAATACATACACTAAGATACAACGTGTGTGTGTGTGTGTGTGCACGTACACAGGTGCACTCCTTTCCTCCAAATGCTCGATGCTTTCCTTTCTTTCTTTCTTTTTTTTCCTTCCTTCCTTCCTTCCTTCCTTCCTTCCTTCCTTCCTTCCTTCCTTCCTTTCTTTCCTGTTCCATCTATTGAATTAATCTCTATACCCAGTGAGAAGCTCGAACTCACAACCCTGAGGTCAAGAGTCTCATTCTCCTTGGACAGAGCCAGCAGGGTGCCCGGCGCTTTTCTGATTGTATAACTGAGACTTGGGGATGCCTGTGTTCTGAATCTTGCCTTGATCTCAGAGACACAAAAGTATTTGGATAGTTCAAGTGGAAAAACTTTGTGGTGAACCTTACTTAACACAGTGGGGAGGTATTTTTGTTTCCCGTGCGGAGCCTCACACTTGTTACACACAAGAACATCTACTAGTCCCTTTCACACTCATCTCATTTCGCCGTCTCCCAGACCCTGGAAGGTAATGCAGGGCCTCTGGTCTCCCTCTCCTCCTCTCCTTTTATCTCTCCCAGACCTTCATGCCCAAACTTCTATTTCTTTGCCGCCATCTGCTTTACCTCCCTTTTGCCTTTCCCAACGCCCCAGTTTCCTCTTTTCTAATTATTCCCAACAGGAGTGACTTGCAATCTGTAGACAAAAGAAGCTAAAAGAAATATGAAAATAAATTTGCATACAACGGAATCTGGCAAAGCAAGGGAGCTCAAAGGTAAGGAGGGATTAGTGCAGGGCTTTTCAAAAGTGTCCATGGTGGTTACTGGAATGATCTGAGGTAGTACCCTCGATGAACAATTCTTTAAAAATTTGAGTGGTTATATATTTATTTTAAGGGTGTTAATATATTTCTTCCATTTGTGGTACTCATTCTCAGCTTGATAAACGGTCTTTTAAAATATTTAAGTATAAGAAATGACTATATTTCTCTGGCAAAACTTGTGAATTAGTGACACTTGGGAGATATTGGATGGTTCATGCTCAATCAATCAAAACTAATTTTATTAGAGGACTCTCTTCTCCCATCAGATCTAGATAAGCAGAAGTGAGCACATAATATTTCAAATTCTGCTCCTTCAGTGTGATACTAAGTATTAGAATTAAGACGATCTACTAGAGTGGTTTCAAGGTATATCATAGACCCCTGGGGGTCCCCAAGACATGTTGAAGGAGTCCATGAGGTCAACACTATTTTCAAAATAATCCTCAGGTGTTATTTACTTTTTTCAATTGTTGACCTTTCCACTGTTGATGCAAAAGCTTCAACATGGCGAGTAGAGTGCTGGCGTCTGAAGATGGTTCTAGGCGTTGGCCTGAGATGGCTCTGGTGGTAACTGTGTACTTCCTACTCTGAGAGAAAAAAAAGAAAAGCCAATGTCACTCAAAATGGCCTTGATAAAGCAATAAACATGATTAATTTCATTAAATCCCAACACTTTGCATCTTTTTACTGTTCTATGTGGTGAAATGGGATGGACAAATCACACAGTCTGTCTCCCCGAGTTCGCTGGATGCCGCAAGGAAGAGCACGCATTCTGGGTTGAATTACCTCCCTTTTCCATGGAATACTATTTTTATTTGTAAGCACTACTGACAGACAAACAAAGGTTATTTAGACTGGGTATGTGGCAGTCTACATATTTTCTCAGAAACAAATAAAGTGGGCCTGTTCCATCAAAGAAAAAAACTAGTAGTGTTTGTAAGCAATGACAAAATTGGCGCTTTCAAGTGGAAATTAGAATCTTGGAAACCTCATGTCGTGCATCACGAAGCCACTGGGCTGCTTTCTAGTACCTTCGGGCTCATGAAGAGATTGATTGTGATATTTATGCATGTGGTTTTTTGATATTTCATAACAAAATCTGTCAACATGTGAAGATCTGTGTATCTTAGGGAATCTATCTATCTATCTATCTATATTTTTTTCAAATGGCTAATGCATGAGGTTACAAATCATGCATTGGTAAAAGATTCATTTTGTGAGTGAGATAGACCAGTGGATTTTAATGTAACAGAATGTGAAGTCATTGTTATGCTTTCAGATTACCTTCCACAGCATTTAAGAAACTACCACCGGCACTTGTGGGGATGAGCACTGGGTGTTATATGGAAACAAACTTAACAATAAACCATAAAAGAAAAAAAGAAAGAAACCACTATCATCAAATTTGGGGGTATCAAAAAAGAACATCTATAATCACATTAAAAGACTATTAAGAATATTTCTCTTTTTTGCAGTGACATATCTGCAGATGTGTCTAAAGCAGAGCCTGCTTTAGATCTTCTATCCCCTGTCTCTCTGTCCCTCCCCCACTTGCATGCTCACTCTCAAAAATAAATAAAACATTAGAAAATGTTTAAAAACATAAAGCATTGTCAGTTTCTTAATACTTTTTGTTATAGAAAAAACTAAATATTTTTACTTTTCATAACAATATTTGCTTGCACATAGCAGGTCTATTATTTTTCAAAGAATAAATATTTAAAAAGTCTCAGTTTTCATGTCTCACACAGCATATATCAGTGGATATAGTTTACATAAACAAAAGTTCTTTAGTGTCTTCAGTAATTTTTAGGAGAGTAAAGGGGTCTGAGACTAAAAAGTGTGAGAACCAGTCCTGTCCAATCAAAACACTCCATTTCTCACAACTGACAATGGCCTAAGGTGTGTGTGTGTGTGTGTGTGTGTGTGTGTGTGGTGTGTGTGTGTGTGTGAGTGATAGGGATGAGTGGTAACATAGGATCTTGCATCACAATAATGTTAAGGGAAGGAGGGGCGCCTGGGTGGCTCAGTCAGTTAAGTGTCTGGCTCTTGACTTTGGTTCAGGTCATGATCTCATGCTTTGTGGTTTTGACCCCCCACATTGAACTCCGTGCTGACGGCATGAAGCCTAGTTAGGGTTCTCTCTCCCTCTCCCCCGCCCCCACTCATGTACTCTGTCTCTTTCTCTCTCTCAAAATAAATAAATAAACTTAAAAAATGATAAGGAGAGGGGATACAAAGACTATTGTCAAGAGACTGTTGTATGAGGGGGAATAATGCCAGCCTGGTGCAGAGAGACGATTTCTGGTAACTTGTGAAAATGCAGAAGACTCTGGGTACAACCAATGCTTGAGACAGAAACAAAGAGAAAATACCAACATTGATTCAGAAATAAAAGATATGATGAAAGATATGGATCTTTTTCCTCTTCACCATTTGTTGTAGCAGGAAGCCCATAAGATGACTGACCATCCTCCAATGATCCCCACTTCCTGACGTTCACATCGTGAACTGCCTCCCCTCGGCTGTGGGCCAAACCCAGTGACTTGCCTCTAACCAACAGAATACAGCAGAAGGGATGGGATGTCACTACTGAGATCAGATTACAAAGAGACAGTGACATCTGTCTTGCCCACCCTGTCCCTGGCTGGTTCTGCCATGTTATGAGCTGCCCTGTGAAAGAGTCAAGTGGCAAGGACCTGGTAGGTTTTCAGGCAACAACCCAGGAGAAACTGAGTCCTTTCAGCTACCTTGTGAGTAGAGCTACACTTAGAAGTGTCTTTTCCTTTGCTGCAGTCTTTGGGTGCGACACAGAGCTCTGACCAATACCTTGATTACTGCATTTTGAGAGGCAGAGGCACCCACTTAATCCGTGTCTGGATTTCTGATCCACAGAAACTAAATAGTAACTTTTATTGTTTAAAGTTGTTAATTAATGGGGTATTTTGTTACACAGCGATTGATAACTAATATGTATATATATTATCCTATATATATATAGGATTGATATACTAGATATAGGATATGTATTATATATGATAACATATATATATATATATATATATATATATATTCATGCAAAACTTGCACACAGTTTCAGGAGACTTTGAGAAATCCCTGAAGCCCGTTAATGGATAGTCTATAGACCCTGTTAATAAACCCTGCTCTAGGAAAGCATTAAAAGAAAAGATATCAAAGGAAGAAAGAAAATAAGACCAGCCAAGAAAGTAGTAGAAGGGAAAATCTAGACAGTATAATTAGAGGCAGTTATATCAGGGAAGTAACACAAGAACCCAGTGCCTTAATGAGGAGAAAGTTTCCCTAGAACTTTCCAGGGGGATGGATCCCTAAGGATAGCAGCTAAATTGGTAAGGCAAGCACTTCTATCATGAAATAAAATTGGCTGGATCTGTACCCAAGAAAAGAAAAGACCAATGTTCTGTATTTAGGTGTGTGGGAAGAGAGTTTTCAACTCAGCCTTGTGGGTAGGAGATATGTTGAGTAATAAATTAAGGAGTCTAAAAGTGGGATCTGTGGAATAAAAATGTGCATGTCACAGAAAAGACTCTAAGTTACAAAAAGTTTTATAATGGCCCAGGTAAGTTGGAGGTGCAGAGAATGGCCTCAAGAATGATCAAACCCAAGGATTTAGCTGATGTCAACAGGTCTCTGCTTCATCTTTTTGGTTGGCCTCCAAATGGCCAGGGGTTGGGTGTGGGGTGGCAAGTCTGCAGAGAGAGCTCTAGGCTTTCTAAAGCCACAGAGAGTGACACTCAAAGAAAAAGAATGTCTTCTCTCAGTGCCCACATATAAAATCTGGGGGAGGTCTCAGATGGTTCTACTTGGGCAGCCATTATCTCCCCAGACACCCCGGAACTATATGAATTGGCATGAAAGATAATTACCTAAAGGCAAAGGGGGTGCTTGTGTCTGAAAAGGAGAAACAATGCGGGCCAGATAATATGACATGTGTCTACTGCAGTGAGTGACAATGATCAGAGGCTGGGAAGGTTGTTTAATATTTCAAGTTATGCCAACACTATAAACTTGAGACTCAAGACTTAACATGGATGTGTAGTGTTTGTGCCTCAACAGCCCCTCATTACAGGAGATTGGGACTCTTTGAACTGACTTGGGATGATGGAGTCTAATGAATAGGGCTCTGTCAGGGGAAGGACTGGAAAAGGAGCTTGGGGATGAAAGCACAAATTCAGAGGCTTGGATTTTTAAGGAGAAATTCAGCCCTTTCTCCTTCTTGCGCGTCAGCATCTGTTGTTTTCCTTCCAGAACACAAAGTGGCTCGTGAAGCCCATATCCATCTGAATAAAGACTGAACAACCACTATAGCGAAGGCTTAGCTGCCGGATGCTCTCTGATGTGACTCGGTTGAATTTCTACTGCTCTCTGGAGTCCCTGGGAGAGCCCTGGGCTCATGCGGGGACTCCCAATATTTTTTGAACTGAACACTTGGTTCCAAATGGCAGAGATTTAATTCCTAAGCACACAGAAAGAGTCAGTGCTGACTATTCAGTTGAGCTCTTCTTAGGTTGTAAATAAAGACTTGTGATTTACTAAATTGAGGAGTATTGTGGGGGGAAAAAACCCTGAATGTTCAGCTGAGACCAACAGTAACGTAGAACTTGGCAGAAGAGATCTCTTGGGTGGGCCATCTTCCTTCCTGACTTGTCCGCAAGAAAGTGCCACAGTGGGATTTGGTGGGACAGGAAAGATGTTAAATAATATGTGAAATAATCAACATATAATAGATAAGGGAACACATTTCTAACTTCTGTAAAGGTTTTCAACTCTTTAAAAAAAATTTTTTAATGTTTTATTTATTTCTGAGAGAGAGAGACAGACAGCGTGAGCAGGGGAGGGTCCGAGAGAGGGGGAGATACAGAATCTGAAGCAGGCTCCAGGCTCTGAGCTAGCTGTCAGCACAGAGCCCAATG